AAAAAAAAAAAAAAAAAAAAAAAAAAAAAAAAAAAAAAAAAAAAAAAAAAAAAAAATCCATTATAAGTAAGAAAAAACTCAACAGTTTTACATGTTTACTACAACAAAATCCATGTAACCTATGTATACATCAAGATACTCACCTCAACACCAAGCAGGAAGCAAACTATGAAAATAGTGTGCTGCTCAATAATGCTCACAATATGAACAAAGGATAACAAGTTCAAGCAATGATCAAACTCTAGTTCCGTGTTGTATTTATTATAATGCTATGTCGTTTTGGCAGTGCGTACCTTTTCTTCTTCTTCGCTAACTACGCTTTCACATTCTGTCTCTTCGACGGGGTCCTGAGTCTCAGAGATTGTTTCTGTGTGGGGATTGCTGGCGAGTACACCATCGATAACGGATCTGGGAGTATTTGTGGTGTCGCTAGTGTTTTTTGTTCTAACAGAGTCAGAACCGGGACTACCGTTGCCTGAAACTTGTTCGTCCAATTGATTGGAACGATTCAAGGCATGACAATGTGGGCAGTAGTATGTAATGAATGGGAAATCTTCCCTCTTGACAAGTCCTACAGAGGATAAAAAAGAGATAAAACTACAATCATCCTTGTTCTGCTCATGTATTGAAGAAAAGAGTGTGTTGTAAAGGGTAGATAGAATAGGATCACTCACCATTGTGCATATGGCAGTTGCCACAGATGAGTGCATAAGACTGCATTGGATCCTCTCCGACAAGCAATGCAGCGATTCGAGCTAACCATCCTCCATCGTTCACAGCTGGTCCTTGGGGATTGTAATGATCGACAACCAACTGATTAGCCTCAGAAGCATGACGACCTTCAAATACTGCAGATCGTCGTGCATCTTCATCATGATGATGCAACGAACCACTACCCGCGCTACTGGAACGGGAGTGACCTTGTTTTCTGTTCCGAAGCCCACCACCAGGTGGTACAAATTCAACGTCATTGCTCTTCCCTGACGGAACATTAAGATTTGATTCATCGCCCAAATGAACCTTTAAGCCTGAATCTGCTCCCAACTTGGAAGCCAATACAGTTGCAGCGGCTGCCTTTGCCGCAGGGTCAGGATCATATCTCTGTCAAAGAAAAAGGGGAACATAAACTATCTATATGGATCCTCATCAGAAAAATCAAGAAGATGATGGGGCTGTTAAGATAAAAAAGGGCTGCCCCCACTTTAGCAATATTGTTCAAACCAGTTCGAAACATGACCTGCATAAGAAACGCTATAGGGAAGCAGATGTAGAGAAACAAACAACAGTCATTCCCAGAATTAAGCTTTAAACCCCAAAAGACCATCTATAATAAAAGACTGGTGTCATCTTATCATCAAAATAAAACAGAAGATTTCCTGAGCTTAGGCAAACTGTACATGAACATTTCATTTACCATCCACAATTGCAACAAAGAGGTTACATACTTGATAGGGAATAGAATATCAACATTAGCTTGCCTCCATTTTGTCTATTAGTGTTAGGCAGATATCAAAAATTCATTTTAACGACTTCCTAAAGTACGCAGTTATTTAGAAGACAGGAAATTGTGCTTTAAAGAGTGCGTGTAAAGTGATAAGGTTTAGATAGACAGATGGGCTCTTTAGATATGCAAGGAGAGTCGAAGATAAAATAAATCCCATGCTAACTCAAGATATAGTGGATAAACAGAACAGAATTACCTGGATGAGCTGCTGAGTAATGTAATAATTAGTCTTCTCCTTAAGTTCATCAATTTTAGCTTGCCTCTCAGCTCGCAGCCTTTCAAGAGTTTTCTGGTCCTTCCGATCACCTATTAAGTTGTCAAAAAGTTATAAATTCATCAATATTCAACGTTATCCTAATTTCCAACATGCCACCCGACAACTTGACATAAGGTCTTCAACATCATCAACTGAGATCACTTAGTTAGATAATCATAACCAAGACAGGAAAATAAATCTCAAATTGGCTTTCAGTCGAAAGACAGACAAAATATCAATAGCAATAGAAAGAAGTAACTCAACTAGAATCTAGATGGGGCTCAAGAATGTTCACTTCATATGTTCATTGTTCATCAGTAGAACACCACCTAATTCTTGGCAGAATGCAGTCTTAAGAAAGCAAGAATTACAAGAGATATCCATCACTATAAACTAAGAAAAATAACAAAATAAAACAGCATACGCACAGCCTATTTAAAACCCAACCTATTTTACAGCCTAAAGACTGTGTCAGGACACCAAGTAAATGGAAGAAAAGTCAGGCTTCAGAGGGAGGTAAGTTAATTCTGATGCAACACATTCTCTGTAGCATTCTAATGTTTTATACGTTCCTTCTCAAAATTTCTATGACAAACTGCGTAGAAAAATAGAAAGATTCCTATGGTGGAAAAGGTCCTTCTATGTACTTTCACCCTGGGAAACTGAATAAAAATGATAAAACTGAATGACAAGTTACCATTGATGCTGTTATCTCATCATTTGTGTGCATAATGTGTTAAAAACAGGATATAAATCTATGACATCTCTTCCTATATTGAGTTTGTCACAAAAAGTTTCAGCAAATTTAACATGTACTGTCCTCACCCTTCATCAGTAACATCCTACCTTAAAGAAAAAAAATCTTAGAAAGCTCATAATGCTGGTCAAAAGCCATTCTCAACTAGTATTCTCTTAGACATAAGACTATTCTTATTCCTGCTTTGGCCTTTGAGTTTCATCTCCATGCCCAGGAATCATGCACCAACAGCAAGTACACTCGATCAAATTAGCAAGCACACTCAATGACATTTACGGTTAACCATTAATACAATCGCTATTTAACAAGAAAGAAGATCAATTAAGACAAAAGTAAAGAGTAAGCACAGAGCATAATCAAACAGAACCCTCAAATACGTCAAGGAAATGAAGAACCCCTATGGAGAAATGCCAATAACAGAAAATCAAGTAGAAACTTACACATTCTTGTGAAGCTAAGAAATGTCGTATAAGCCAGAGTTGATAATGCAGGCAAAAGAAACATGGGTAAAACTCTAAACGCCCTCATCTTCCAGTTCATATCTACAGCTCTTGTAGTTATGATAGCATAACAGACTGCAATAATCTGAAAATTGTAAAAAAATATATATATATATATCATTGAAAAATTCTTTAGGATATCTAAATTTAATCCGCAAATGAATTCTTTCAGAAGTATGTTCATTGCAAAGAGATGAACAGAGTTGGATGGACAAAGAAATCTTATGTAGAATGCAATTCAGCCACATTGACACAAACTACCGCAAATGGTATAGAAAAAGCAACCTAACGTAGTCGCGCAAAACAGTGGCAACGCTGCAAAACATACTATTACTAAAAATAAAATAGAAAAACAAGATTACCTCAAAAATGACAGAAAATATAATAAGATTTCTGGCCATTCTCCGCCAGGTTAGGGATCTACGCTTCAACCTAGCAAGCACAGCAGCTTCTTCCTTAGAAATGTGTTGAAGTCTCTTTTCAAAATCATCGCCACGTACTCGGAAGATACCATTCCAAAGCCGCGAGAAAATCCCCTGGGATTTCTTCTTCCCGGCTACATCCGCAACAGTATCCTTCTTCTCGCCTTCTCCCGCGGCAGCTTTTTCCTCGGCCATATCACAAATTACCTACAAAAATCACATATCATCAACACGAACACGAATACGTGAGAATCTAAATGAACAACCACCGATTCTCCAGTGATTCAAGTAATTAAACACAAAAGGACTGATCAACGAGTATGAGTTTCGCAAACGGAGTAAATTACCGGATGCGTAACATCCGCCGAACAGTCAGAAAACGAGAAGTAAGAAGAAAAAAGCATCAGATCTAGAACATACCTGAAAATCGTCGATCCGGATTTGATAACTTCAATGAATTACTTCACCAATCGTCCTCCTCTCCGGATCACACACACAGAGAGAGAGAGAGAGAGAGAGAAACAAAAATAAATATGAAATGGTAAACAGAGACCGTGATGGAGACGTAAAGCTGCGAGAAAATCAACCAGAAAGAAGATGGGAGAGAGAGGAACTGAATTCTTCGCGTAGTGAGCGTGTCGAGGGGAAATCAGAAAATTGAAAGAAAAAAAAAAAAAAAGAGGCTTCAAAATTCAGGGCTCTCGCTTTGCTTCTCCATCTTCAGTTCTTCCTCCTTCCCCCAAGTTTCGTATTTTTCTCTCTCTTATTATTTTATTTTTTATTTTTTATTTTTCCGCTTCGACTTAGGCGGGCCCCACTTCGCACGTGCTCCACCCTCTTCCAATTCGAGCCCTTGCAATTTAATTCCCAAAACCAAATATTTATATAAAATAAAAATATTTAATTAATTTATTCAAATTATTTTTTAATCTAATCTTTTATTTTATATAGAATAATTTAAAATTCTAATCTCATCGATAATATATACTTTTAATTAACTAAATTAGATTAACGTTTTAATTTGATTTTATGAATGAATAACCATTCTATCGTTATGGGTTAATATTTGTGATTAAGTCATATATTATATAGGTTAATTCGTGATCGAAATTTTTTTTAAGAATGGTTTATGGATTTTTTTTTTAATTATTTGAAACTATTAATAAAAAGGAAAAAAAATATAATTTAGCAATCTTTATTTTTTTTTAATGGTAGAAATTATAAATATGAAGTTGGTAAATAAAATGAGGTGGGAAATTATTAATTTATTTGTTTATCGTGAGGAAGGAGTGGGAAATTATTGTTATTATAATAGGAAACTTAAATGAATAGAGAAATTTAATTATGACTCCCCCACCCACCATTGGATATAAATTCAATACTAATTTTAGCGTCTATGCATCCAACTATAAAAAAAAAATTAATTTATAGACTTTTCTTTTTAATTATAATTTTTTTTTTCATTTGCTTCAATTATAACATTTTAATTAATTTTCCACATTGCATTAAACCAACCTCAGAGTATGCCGCCATTGTTAGAGGAGAATTGTAGCGACCTACATCCACCAAGCAGATATTGTCCTCTTTAAACTTTTCCAAGGGTTTTTTCCAAGGGTTTTCGTCTGCTAGTGAGAAAATTAAAATTTTCTAGTGAAAAATTTTCCACAAAGGTAGTTTTTTCTATCAAAATCAAAGCATTGAGATTATTTCCATTTTTGGAAGATTGTGAATCCTATATCTAATTCTGTTATCCCAAAATTGATGGGTTGCTATATGTTACCATATATGCTTTTGACTGTTAAAGTCATACATTTAACAGTCGTAAAAGTTAGTACTATGATATAATGGAATTTAATATGTAAATAAGCTAAAATCAGAATTTAATTTCGATGTATAGTAATTAAATTATTACAAATTTAAAATACGTGAACTAAATGGTTATAGATCGAAGTTGATGGACTAAATTATTAGCTTCTTAAAAGTTCTAACGACCAAATAAAGTGGTAACTCATGCATGAATGTATTGAATGTTTTCTAAGTCTGCTTAATTCAGAGTGAAAGTCATGAAATAAGATCAAAATAGAGTGAATAATCTTACTTGTAATGTCCAGGCTCTATGTAGCATCCTTCTCCTGTGACCAAAGCCATCTCTTTTCCTGTATTATAATAAAACAGTACAACTTTTGGTCAAGAAAAGAAAGCATGGAGTTTATGGAAGTAAGGTGCAGTGAATTCTGATTTAGTGTCATGCTTGTTTTACCAATAGTACGATCCCACATCGATTGGAGAGGAGAACGAAACATTTTTTAAAAGGACGTAGAAACCTCTCTCTCTCTAGCAGAACAATATCTGCTAGCGATGAGTTTGAGTGCATTCCCAAATTTTAGAGTTACAACTTGTTCAATGCACAACATTTTTCTTGGGAAATGCCCCTTAACTTTGGGTAACATGCGTAGCGTTGGCAACCAATATGCCACATATTCACCCTCGGGAGCGTATGTTTGTGCCTGAAAAGTATATAATTGTTGTACACAGATTAGCATATACTAGAAAAGATACTGTCATAGGAAATGGACTGGTAATCCAAAGAAAATTTGAACCCAACGACGACGTATTGCCTACTCGACATAATTTTAGACACTCTAGTGTCTTAGTCTACCATATCATAACCGATCTGATAAAGACTCAACGAACAAAACTGATACGACCCATGGGTTCAGGGTTTAGTTGATATTGTTTGCTTTGGCCCGTTACGAATTGTCTCAACCTTACAATTTTAAAACACGTATCCTAGAGAGAGGTGTCCACACCCTTATAAGGAATGCTTCGTTTTCCTCTCAAACCGATATGAGATCTAACAATCCACCTCTCTTGAGAGCCAGCGTCCTCGCTGGTACACCGCCTGGTGGCTGGCTCTGATACCATTTGTAACGGCCCAAGCCCACCGCTAGTTGATATTGTCTACTTTGGCACGTTACGTGTTGTCGCCTGCCTCACAGTTTTAAAACCCGTCTACTAGAGAGAGGTGTCCACACTTTATAAGGAATGATTCGTTTCCCTCTCCAACCGATATGGGGTCTACTACTTATCTACTAATGACCCCTTGAAATTTAGCTAAAAAAGAAGGATGCAACTGTGCAAGTTTTTCGTGTTTCTACCTTATAAATAGATTGCACCACAGAAATGTTGGACTCATGCTTTGATCTTATTTCCCTACCATCGTCCCAACTTTCGAGTCAATGCAAACCAATTCTGGCATACCATCCAAAGAATAAAAATGTGTTCTTAGAAAATAGATTTGCATTGTCTAGAACCTTAAGAACGGCTATTCGCTTGGCAAAACTTTTATAATGAACAAAATTCATTCAGAAGAAAATCTGCACTTACTTGCTTGGGGATACTGAAGTAACGCTCATCTCTTCGGACTGGCCAACGTGGGACTACTCCTTTCGATAATCCTCAACATTTTGTAGCGTAGCCAGGTTCTAACATCCCATTGATTGCTTGTTTCCTCATCCGTAGTAAATCCTAAATAGCAAGGGGAGAACAGCAAAGAGATGCAAACGGCTGAACTCATCATTGGGTATCCATTCCTTGTACAATGTCTGGTTAATATCAAACAAGAAAAACAGGGAGCACCAATTTTCACCTTCTTCCAGAAGTGTACTCATAAATTCTGGAGAGACCTGCTTTCTCGCCCCCAATGAACCTCATGCCCTTAACAACCTGAAGAAAACAAATCGTTTGTCAACTCACAGAGAGAAAATTTGATGTAATAATAATAACCATATTAGAACAATCCTTCAAACATACAAGGATGGCTATTAAATCTTCTCAACTGTGTGGGCACCGAGAGCTTTTGCAAGAGAAGGGAGAATTTCTTCAGGCTTCCCATTATTGAATAAGCAAGTTAAGGCCAAGCATTCAACAATAAATTGTGCTCTCATTGCTGCAAGAAAGGGAGAAAATTATATAATCGTTGAAACACTTGCTCTAAGCATAAGTTCCAAAACGCTGAAATCATAATTTTAAACAGCGATTCAACAAATAGCTTAAGACATTTCCAGCATAATTGATAACTTACTGCTACATAGCCATGAATTTTTTCAAAAATCGCCTCAATAATTTGGACTACAAGAAGAGAAGACGTGACCTAAACCCGATGAGCAAGAGCTCCATTACGCTCAAGTAGTAGTAATGAGCTATGAGCATTACATGGAACAGAATCGCTTCATGATCGGCAACAACAAGAAATAGAACAAAAAATCCACCAGTTCAGAGCTCAACAAGAGACGCATAAATTCCAAACAAATTACACGATCATCTTTATCAGTAACAAAAGTAAAGAATAAATTCAGAAATAAACCTCCAGTTCTAGGAAATCCGAAGTAGCAGGTAGAACCAGAAGATCTTGGATCAGCGGAATACACCGGCAACACAGCCTCGGGCGAAACCCAGGCCTTATACAGAGCCTCATTGTCCAGCACACGGAGGTCATTTCTGAACAAACAAGGGCGACTCCTTTTCCTCTTTTAACACCCGAAGACGAAGGAGACGAATACCGCCGGAACAATTGTTCCGCAATCCGGTCCATCTCCTCCGATTCTAGCCCGGAACTCGACATGTCGACGACGACGACGACGACGACCTAGAATCTAGCTTCGATCTCGAATTCATGGTCGAGATTCGTCGGAAAAATTGATGGCGAGCAGATTTTGAGGCAATTTGGACCGCAGGTTTCAGAGAGGAAGAAGTAGGGAGTGTTTTCAACAATTGAAGAGACGAGAATGGGATTCCATTGTTGAAATGCTGATACGGTCTTAAGTTGCCCTGTGAAGATTTAATTAGCTGAGATGATGACACGTGTACTATAGTTGGCTGTGACGTGGCGTTGATACGTTTGAATTAGGTCCACGTGATGACTTGTTTGCCGCCACCTTACAATTTTCCCGTTTAATAAAACGCGCGTAATTTTCAACATGACCGTTGATACGAACACCGTTCTAGCGGTCCGATAATTCAAGCCGACCTCTAATTTAATATGTTAAATTATTTTTCATACATTGTGAATTTTTTTTAAAATTCACAAATAACATATAAAATTATATTTATAAAACCCATACAACTTACGCCTGACGTTTGCTAACTATTTTATTTTTGTTTTTTAGGTTTAAAAATTAAGTTTAAACATTTATCCACTACATTTTATAAATATTTTCAAAATCTTAAACAATTTGTTTTTGAAAATAAAGTAGTAGTAATAATAAATTGTTCGTGATTTTGAAATTTTGCCATGAAATGAAATATGTTTTTATGAAAAGGTGAAAAATATATTGAAAAAATATGAAGAAATAAACATAATATTTAAAAACACAAAACTAACAATTAATTTTGTCACCTATAACAAATTTTCTTAATTTTTTTTTTTTTTAAGGTGAATACTGCTTGAAGGGGCAGCCTCGGGATAGCCTCGGGATGGAACTCCCCTCACCCTCTATATTTAGCTGATGTGCTACAGCCAAATTAGGTTTGGAAAGATGGGTTGACGTAATAATTATTAATCCGACCCACTCCACAAGAACTCACTAGATAGGTCTGATGGTGATGGCAGAGGAAGCCCCTGCCCCGTCCCCACGACAAACTATCAAGAAGTACGAGTTTGTTTGTAAGAGACTATAATAATGAAATGAGACTAAAAGTACATGGACCAAAATGATATTTAAACTTCTAAATATTCATCCCGACACAATAATAAACTACCATTAAAAGGTCTCTTCCAATAAATAAAAAAAGATATGAAAATACCGTACGAACACTGCTACTAATGATGGTACTTCTGACCCTTCAGAATAGTCCATGACCTAAAAGAATACATACATTCAGAATAAGCATTATATAATACAAAAAGCTTCGCAGATGCAAAGATGGTGCATTGTTAGTTTTGTCTGTTTTTCAGGGTTGAATTGAGGTTTGAATAAATCTCTAGATGGAGATAGAGAGAGAAAGAGGAGCATCATGATTCTTGGCTGATTTGAGCAAAACTGAAAGGATTCTCAAGAGAAAAAAATAGAGGTCTCCTACGATATTCGTAATATGAAGAAGTATCGACGTAATTTCATAGTCATTCGGTCTAAATGCTATAGGAAGAACATAAATAAGATGAAGCAACGGGAAGACCTAGAATGTAGAAGATCATAAACGGAGTATATTCGGTGGATTTGGATTTGGATTTCTATATATTCACTATGTGGTACTTGTTACTTTATTGTACTAGATCACATTAATGTAAGTGGATACTCCACCCAACACATCATTTTGGGAAAGCTCTGCTTGAGGAGCATTTGATGTTGCAAATGAAACTCGAAATCACTAATGATTAGAAGAGAAGAAACAAAAAAAGTACCTGTAAAGTTGTTCCATAAGCACAAGTAATGCAATTTGATGATTTAAGACCATGGAGGACAGCTTGATCGATACGTTAGCTCGTTGTCGCAGTTGTTGTCCATGGCCATAAGGTCCACCAATGCAAAATGCTAATCTTGAAGCACCCTGCAAAGAAGAAGAAACATAAGAAATGCCATTTTCATTCTGGGATACACCCATAGTTCTAACAAATTTGATTACAGAAACAATTAAACCATGGTGATTAATACAAAACTTTCTTAACATCAAATTAGAAAGCAGGAGACTGTTACATATTAAGATCTAGACTGACATGGAGGTTGAACATGTGGGCTGGTTTAACTTAGAGGTGCCTCAAGCAAAAACTCCTGTTAGATAACTATTTTGTTTTTGAAAATTGTGTTTATTTTCGTATCATTTCTCTTGAGAAAACAAATTCTTAGCCAAGATCCAAAGACAAAAACAAGTTTTTGAAAACTAGTTTTCTTAGTTTTTCAAAACTTTGGCTCGATTTTTTAAAATAGACGTAACAAGTGGATAACAAAACAAGGAAATCCATAGGTGGAAGTAGTATTTATAAGCTTAATTTTCGAAAACAAAAAACCAAACCAATTCGTTCTCAAATGGGGCCTTAGCCACTAACTTTGAACTTTGAACTATTAGGAATCAGTCCAGTAGAGATGAATTGATGATAACAATGCAACCCATTTGATTTGAATTGGAAATGGTACTCACTGTATTGCCTGCATCTGCCACCAACTCAGCCATCTGCTCGGAGGATATCTCTTTCCCATTCTCATCCAACATCACAACCTGAAGGTGCATATGCAGAATGGATATGGTACACACTGTAAGCAGTAAGCACGACCATTATAAACTATTTCAAAGATCAGTTTTAGAAGAAGGGCTAAAAATAAAATCAAAGCACATAGCAAACTATATTTCTTTTCTGAAAAAGAAGCACTCTGATCAATTTTCTTTCACATTTTAGCTGGCAAAAGACTGATGTAATTGAGGGACGGAGAGAGAGATTTGTAACCGTCCAAGTCCACCACTAGCAGATATTGTCTTCTTTGGGCTTTCCCTTTCAGGCTTCCCCTCAAGGTTTTAAAATGCATATGCTAGAGAGAAGTTTCCACGCCCTTACAAAGAATGCTTTGTTTCCCTCTCCAACCGATGTGGGATCTCACAATCCACCCCTTTTGGGGTCCAGCGTCCTCGTTGGCATTCGTTCCCCGTTTCAATCGATGTGGGATCTCACAGGGACAACTCTAAACTAGTTCTAAACTAGAGAGAGGTTTCCACACCCTTATAAAAAATGCTTCGTTCCCCTCTCCAACCAGCGTGGGATTTCACAATCCACCCCCTTTGGAGTCCAGTGTCCTCTCTGGCATTTGTTCCCCTCTTTAATCGACGTGAGGTCTCACAAAGAGAGTTCTAAACTAGTTACCAAATAAAAGAGCACAGCCAGAATAACAAAACTCGTAATGATTCAACGAAAATGAATGTTAAGAGACAAACCCAATCGTCGGACTTGAGAAGATTCACAACAGCTATGTCCTCATCATCAACCTGAGCTCTTGGATCCCTATAATGCAGAAACGAAACATGGAATGAAAAGCATTCATTAAGATTAGCATCATTCATCAGAGATTGGAAGTTCGAGCGTAAATAGGAAAACTGATAAATGAAAACCAACCGTACAATCACATACCGCGCATTTCTAGGATTTGATCGCAGTTGAACATCTTCCACATTACAGTAGTTATTGAGCTTGTCAATATACTCATCAATGAGAAGCTGAACGCCACGAGACCTCTTCTTCCCCACAGTTAAAACGCGTATCGGCACCGCTCTCTGTTCATTGTCCATAAAAGACTAATCTCAGTTAAAACTCAGTCATCCTGAGCCTCAATCACACTGAAATCTCAGCCAAATATATCAGATATTAATAAATGGAATTGCAAAACACAACGAAACGTCAATCGAACGATCGAGATCGTAAAAAGGAAAAAGAATCACAACGAAGACAAAAATCACAAGAACCAAACAACGAAACTAAATTTAAAGAAACAAGAAATGTACCACAGATTGACCGGTGTACTTGCAACGTCCAACTGAAAGCTCGAAATCGGAGAAACATTACACAACGCCGGTAAGAACATAGACGAACAAAACCTAGGTCAAATTCTAGGGTTTCTTTTTCCTTCTATTGTAGAGAAAACGATGATACCTGAAGGAGAAGCGGAAATGGTAGCACAGAGAGCAGTAACCATTGATAAGAAGCCGATAGCAGAAACCAGACCCCTCGGGCTAAGACGGAGATGATGACGTGTCAGTTAGCAAGTTGCCACCGTGAGAAAAAGAGAGAACAAATTTGATTAAAATTACGAATTTTGGGACAATTTTATTTTGGCTAAATTATATAAAATCTAATTTTGTCTCAGTGATATTCCAAAATTTTCAAAAAAATAAAAATAATTCATAATTAAAAAAACCAATATTTTGTAGTAACTTAAATTTTCAAATATTTTTAAAATATCTCAAATTTTTTAAAAAGAATACGATTAAATGTATTTTCACACGTAAGATTTTTCCCTCCCTAGTTTTATTTTTGAGTAACAGCTTCACATGACACCTAGGTAGTTTTATTTTTGAGTAACAGCTTCACATGACACCTAGGAAGCTGATCAGTTGTCAACTAATTCAACCATAACCTAACTAGCACGAGATTCTACAACCGAGCAAGAAAATAGAGAGCCTCTACTCGTTACCATCACATTAAAGACAAGTTTTCTTATTTCCGCAGTCAAATTTCGAATTTGGGGTTGTCGCCCCTGCAAAAGTCAGGGGTAATACTGACCAAACTATTGACATAAAACGTCCTTTCATTATAGGTAAACTCGAAATATAACCACATTTTTTCTTTATTGAGGTGTGGCTCCACGTTTTTTATCAAGGTTTGTGTGGCTCTTGGGAACTCGAGAAACAATCTATCAAAGCTTCTATCCCATTCAATAAAACGTCCTTCCATCCTCAAGTAATTTGATCTATCTTCAATTCAATTCAAGATTCGAGTCATGGTTCGGTTCCATTTAGAGATGGCTAGGAAGGAATACCAATATTATGGATATCAATGATGACGATGACAAAGGACAATTGGTGCATACCACGACACACCGACACCCATCAAGAAGTAATATCTTCGCGAGAACACCTTGAAAATTTGAATATATATAATCATTTAGATCAAGATCTATAGAACAAGCTTAAAATGTAACTTCGATTATGATGGTGAAAAACAAAGTCAAAACATTTTATTGAAAAATTAAAACTATACTTTATCAGATCATTCAATTATAAACTCAATTCAAATGGATTGCAAACAAGTTTTCTAAAATTAGATGATAAAGAAACAGATTTAGAGGAAGGAGTGTTGAACAGAACATGATTTTCTCATCTTCATCACTATGTCCAAATTTCAAACTATGAATCAACAATTTTCCCGGAAAAGAAAATTTCAGTGAGAATTTTACTGCCAGCCAAACAAACAGAAATGAGTACTCATACCTTTCAGCTGCTATAAAAATCCCGTTCCATCGTCACTGTGATTCAACAAGCTCAATGGTCTCGGATTTGGAGTGGATGCACTGAAAAAATTGAGACAAAACAAGCAATCATTGAATAACAATGGATTCCAGAGCTATTTCCACTGCCTTTCTTGTGAATTTCCTCCTCTTATCCGCCGCATCGGCTTTCAATGTCACTAAGCTCCTTGGCCAGTTCCCTGATTTCACCAATTTCAACGATTTACTCACACAAACCAAACTCGCCGATGAAATTAACAGCCGCTTGACTCTCACCGTCCTTGCTCTCAACAATGGTGCCGTTTCTAGCCTCTCCGGCAAGCCATTGGACATCGTGAAGCGGATCTTGAGCGTTCACGTTCTTCTTGACTACTACGATACTAAGAAAATTGCAACATTGGCGAGCGATGGTACTTCCGTTCTCACCACTCTGTTTCAGACCACTGGCATCGCCATGAATCAGCAAGGTTTTCTCAAGGTTACGCTGACTAATGAAGGCGAGGTTGCGTTCGGTTCCGCTGTGAAAGGAGCACAGGCCGAGTCGAAATTGGTGAGATCTGTTGCTTCTCAGCCGTACAACATCTCTGTTCTTCAGATTACTTCTCCGATTCAGGTTCCTGGAATCGATTCCAAGCCAGGCCACTCCACTCCACTAGCACCACCACCGAAGGCGTCTGCTCCGGTCCAATCTCCTAAAAAGGCACCGGCTCCGGCTGCCAAGTCTCCTAAAAAGGCACCGGCTCCGGCTGCCAAGTCTCCTAAAAAGGCTGATGCTCCGGCCGCCAAGTCTCCTAAAAAGGCACCGGCTCCGGCTGCCAAGTCTCCATCAAAGGCTGATGCTCCGGCCGCCAAGTCTCCATCAAAGGCTGATGCTCCGGCCGCCAAGTCTCCATCAAAGGCACCAGCTCCTTCCGCCAAGTCTCCATCAAAGGCTGATGCTCCGGGCGCCAGGTCTCCATCAAGTGCTGATGCTCCGGGCGCCAGGTCTCCATCAAGTGCTCATGCTCCGGGCGCCAGGTCTCCATCAAGTGCTCATGCTCCGGGCGCTAGGTCTCCATCAAGTGCTCATGCTCCGGGCGCTAGGTCTCCATCAAGTGCTCGAGCTCCAGGCGCTAGGTCTCCATCAAGTGCTCGATCTCCAGGCGCTAGGTCTCCATCAAGTGCTCATGCTCCGGGCGTGTCTCCAAAGGCCGCTGCCGATTCACCAGAGAGTCCTTCGCCAAATCCCGCTGCCGATTCACCGGCGAGCTCTCCGCCAAAGCCCGCTGCCGATTCTCCGGATGCGACCGATGACGACGATTCTGATGCGGCTGCACCAGGACCTAGCGATGATTCTGGCGCCTCAAGCGGTAGGTTCATCGGAGCTGCGACAGTTCTGGCGGTGATCTCGTCGTTTCTGGCTCTCTGAGCGCTCAACAAAGCCAGTGCGGTCACACTTTGAAGGTTGAGTTGAAGGTTCCTCAATAATTCATTTGTAATAGTTTAATTAAATATTTGAATTTAGAAAAAAATTAGAATTTTAGTTCTTTTAATTTAAAAGATTCAATTTTGTTCTTATGATTTGATAAATTTATTTTTTTTATAATTTAATAAAATCTCATAGAAAAAAAGTTATATTATTTGATAAAATCCTCGAATAATTACAATTTTAGAAAATGGGCCTCCAGTTCCATTTAGGCCCATTCCTATAGTTCTCTCATAGAATTGAATGCAAGATGTTGGGCTTTAATGGGCTGCTGACGGCCCACAATGAAACTTACCAGCCTTCCCTAAGCCCAATCTCTCCCCATTTCCCCTCTCTAGGCCCATAACTATTTACTTCGATGCATTTTCATTTTTAAAAAAAAAAAGTGTACAATTTTGGTTCCAATGTTGCAATTTTTACACGAATATATAATGCCCACATCAATTTCAACATAAATTTACTAAGAAATTAAAAAAAAAAAATAATGATGGGTAATATTGTAACAGTTAAACTCACTCCTAGTAAATATTGTTCGCTTTGTCTGTATGATTCTCTTTCAGGTAGACCTTGAACACGTAAATACTGTTCGCTTTGTCCCATTAGGTATGATTCTCTTTTGGGTAGGCCCTGAACACGTAAATATTGTTCGCTTTGTCCCATTAGGTATGATTCTCTTTCGGGTAGGCCCTGAACACCGCTAGTAAATATTGTTTGATTTGTCCTGTTTGCTTTGTCCCATTAGGTATGATTCTCTTTCGGGTAGGCCCTGAAAGGAGAAGCCTGAAATGCTACTTTGTCCCATGAAGTATGATTCTCTTTGGATAGACCCTGAAGAGAAGGTTGGAATCCTATGAGGTATGATTCTCTTTTGGATAGACCTTGAGGAGAAGGTTGGAATGCCAACTAGTGTCTATTACTGAATTCACGATAGTACTCTATTTTTTGAACGTCCAATGCCAAAGTCTGTTAAGTCGCCAAAGTCTGTTATTGATTCCACCCGACCCAATAGTACCCCATTTATTGAACGTTCAGTGCCAAATGCAAATGGGTAAGTCATCAATCCCTATGTACTTTATAGTTACGGGTGGGCATTTTATCGAAGATGGGTTACGGGAGTAGGCATTTTATCGAAGATGGGTCACGGGTGAGCATTTTATCAAAGATGTATAAAGAAATAATAAACTCGAGACAAGAAAAAGCGATTAAATTCTCATGAATTCACATTCCTTTGTATTTTTTTTTTTTTTTTTGTTTTAAATAAGAGAAATGATGAAAGCATAGGTTAGAAAAGAATCAAAGGAATTGACAAAAGAAGATATATAGTGGAGTGGAAGATCCTTCAACTTTCACCTTAATACTCTTATCAATGCGTGCATGCATGCTGCAGGGACCATATGCCCATGTGATGCCATGTGGGCTAACAAACTTGCATTTCATCACATTTCTTTATATATTACAATGCTCCAACACTATCACAAACAAGAATCGAATATGCACCTTTCGAATCTAAACAATGACCCGACAAACTTTCGATATCTCGACTTTTGGTAACCTGATTCCTTCATAAAGAGTGTGTTCGGGAGAGAATTATATTGACCTTCAAAAAGATGTTTTTTTTCCTTTGAAACAGAGGGTCCTCGTGTCCTCTGACATTAGGTGTGTGTATTCACGCTGAAACTCCAACCCGATTTATACAAAACTAGGTGTTGCTTGTTTTCTCGAGCCTAATATATATATCTATATAAATAAAGTGTATTTCAAGTAAAAGTCAAGAATAAACTATTTTAAAAGATAAATCTTTTTTTTTTTTTTAATTTTTAACCTTTAATATCTTCTAATTAATTAAATTATGTTTAGATTAACTAATTGACTGAAATTATGAATTTTTTATTAAAAGAGGTCTTATCCTAGGGTCAAAAATGTACTCTTAAGACAATGAGACATCGAAACAAGATATTTATTTTGTTTTGTTTCAACTTTGTTCCCAATTTTATTAGTTTTATATTTTCAAAATTATTTGCTAAATAATTTATTTAATTGTTTTTTTGGGGATATTTTCTTCATTTATTTATTTATTTTTAAATTTAAAGGTGTTAATTGAAAATTTGGAAAGTTGATAAGTAAGTTTGAGATAATATAGAATTTTTTTTTGTATTAAATTTAGAAAATGACCATTCCTTTATTATTATTATTATTATAAACTAAAATAAATGTAAATAATAAATGGGGTCGATATTGATCACGTGCTACTCTGGCTCCATATAAAAAGATTTAAAAAGGCATTAATATTTGACTTCGGTCTATTATCCAGCGTGGCAGAATGCAGTTGGTGCGTCACGTGAAATCCGCGTGCCCTCTTCTCCCTCCCGGTCCGAGGACCTGACAGCTCAGCGTCACGTGTTATTTTTCCTGGGTACATCGTATCATACAAACCCGTTTCCATCGCTTCTTTTTCGTTTCCTTCTTCCAAGTGAAAGTGCTTACCCAAGTATAGTGGGGCCCACACTCCTATTTTTTTTCTTTTCCAAATAAATAAATAAATAAATAATTTAATTGGTATTTTAAAAAAATCAGATAAATTTATTAAACGAACTTTCATTCGTTCATTGTTACGAACACTAAAACTGGACGAATGCATTGAAAATTACAATAATAATAACAATAATAATAATAATAATAATAATAATAATAATAATAATAATATCACATTTGAATGAATAATGGAGGAAAAAGAAGAGGAAGAGGAAGAGGAAGAAAATTAGGGTTCTCGAACGTGGAAGACGTTAGGGTTTTTGACGACGAGATCGTACATGTAAACGGAGTTGAATTTGGAGAACTCCATTGGAAGAGAAATTAGATCAATGGAAGAAAGCTTATGAAACTGGAACAAATCTGGATCGCCTTCGTAATATCGCTCCCATCCTAAACCTTCCAGAATCTTCTCAAGGAATCCGTAAGAACAAACCGGCTGCCCCGACGGAAGATGAACCAGAACCTTCTTTCTTCCGCCGCCGCCGGAGGAGTAGTCCGCGCCGGTGCCGGTGCCGCCGCCGGCTTGGGAGTTTTCCACGAGGCGCATCACGCCGTTTGATCGGAAAACCCAAACGCCTGACATTTTTTTCGCGGTGATGGTAATCTCAACCGAATGTGTTGGTTTGTAGGAATGGATTGTGATTTGGAGGGATTCGAGTGAGCGGTTTATATTTATAGGGGAGAGGGGATGGGAATTGTGGGCCCCACTGCTTGCCTCTTAGATTTTTTTTCCCCTTTTTGGGGCTTAAAATGAATTTTCAAGAAGCTGTTCTTTTTTTAAGGAAACTTTTATTTAAATATATATTATAAATTCAACGAGAAATTTAAATATTTAGTATTTAATAATCAGAAATAAATGTCAAATTACCGTTATGTTTATGGTTTCTTTTATTTTTTCATTTAAATTATTTTTGTTTAAAATATTATCCATTTTTTAAAATAAAAAATAAAATTATTTTCACAAAGGTGGATAGTTTTTGCTTAGTTTCTCTTTAAATACTTTAATATTTTTTTTCCTTATAAAAAAAAAAGATTTTTTTTTTTTTTGATTTGTTTTGAGTGAACTTGGATTGAATTAATAGAAATATAAGGATAAGAAAAAAAAGAAAAAAAAGAAAAGGAATTTGGTCCGAAAATAGGATCACGAGCTGAGCACGTGATGGGAAGTGGGGTGTGGTGAGTGTAGGGTTGGTAAGGTAAGGTAAGGTGTTGGTGGGTTATGGGACTGAAAGTGACTTCCCTTTCCCATTCCTTCTTGCCCTCTCATCATTGGATTGGATTTTTATTCCCTCTTCATACTCAATATTTTTTATTTATTTATTTTTTTTTTATTTTATATGCTTTCCTTTCTTTAATATTCTCCTCTATTCATTATTAACCACTATTCATATTCATTTCTCCCTTCACATTTTCAATTTTTTTTCATTATAATATTAATTTTTAGAATATTGAGCCTAACTTTTTTTTTTTTTTTTTTAAGAATAATACAATAAAGATTTAAGCTTACAACGACCGGAAGCATAAATATTTAAACTTAGCGAGCTTTACAACCATTTTTAATTCGACCACAAAAAAAACTCACTTAATAGAATTTTTGACCCAAAAAAGAGAAAAAAACTATGCAAAAACAAAATTATGAGATTTAAAACCATATCAATTAAATAAATTGATTTCAATTTATTGATGTGAACTAAATTGGTAATTTAACCTACTTTTTATAAAATAATTAGAATTTCTTCTATTTATTTAACCTCATTTAATAACCATCTATTTTATTTTTTGAAAAATAAACCTATAAATGTTACTCCACGGTCTAAAATCTAAATATACATACATACACACACATATATATATATAGACACATACAATTTAGATATGTTTCAAGCAAGCAACTAGAACATGTCCATATATTAAAGAAAAGGCTATAAACTTACCAATTCTATGCAGCAGCAGATTTGAAATGATACTCATCTATGGTGGAATATATCAAACCTTCATCTTCAAGAGCCCTTATGGAGTCCCTGAAAGAAAAGAAAAAGAAAACAAAAGTTGTATAATTTAATTGATTTTCATACCAACCACATTGGATGGGGATAGAAGAAGTTTACACTATTTTCTTCAAAGGAATTTTCAGTTGTTGGGACAGTTCATCTCTGTGTATTCCTCTTTCTTTTGCACTGCAAAATATAGTTAAAAACTTCAAATAAAAAACACATATCTTCTATACATGTATACAAATGTAATGAACCATTTATTTTTTCTTAAACTTGGGAGAAAAGAATAGTTTTTCTAATTTTTCTTTGGTTAAAATACAATATTGGTACCCGTACAATAAATTTTATTCTATATTAGTCTATGTACTTATGGATATCATAAAATTAGACTATCAAAACTAACTTTTATTGAAATTGATTAAATAATAATAATAGTTTCCATGCCATAAAAGAGAATGTTTTTAGAAAATTTTACTATAACTAATAAGATAGATTAAAAGTGATTATTTGATAAGAAACTAAACTATCAATAATCAAATGATCTCACTTGTGTACTTAGACAAGATAAATATGTGCATTCTTTCGGTTGAACTCACGAGACAACTACTAAACTCGAACTTGGTTAAAAATATTTGCAAGATTCCAATGAATGTGGCCCACAAGAAACTTGAATATTGCGACCCTAAAGTCAAACTTTGTCTCCTTATTATTATTGTGCCAAGAGCCAACTAAGAGTGAGTGTCCTATGGAACCCATAATCAGAAGTGATCTGTGTCTAACACAACAGTCAACCACCGACCTAATGTCTGGTTTTCTATCCACACAAGTTATAACTAGCAGACCACGAATGACTCAGTCACATCCAACCATGGAATTCAATTCTTTAATTCTAAAACCACCTTGTTCCCGGGCCAAAGGCAACTCAAGTCAACCTCATATAGAATAATGCACAGCAACTGGCAAACAAAGGAGACAATCCAAAAAGGAAAAGAAAAAATGGTCTGGGACAACTTACACGCTGGAGGGCAGCTGCAGATAGTCAAGGACCAATTCGTCACAGTTCTTTTTGACATCAAAGTGTGCTGCTCAGCCGACTGCAGAAAGAAGCTATTAAATCACAATCTAACTATATAATCATCTACAAAATATTATATGAGATCCACGTTAGTTGGAAAGAAGAACAAATGATTTTTTATGAGGGTGTGGAAACCTCTCCCTAGTAGGCGTGTTTTAAAACCGTGAAGTTGACGGCGATACATAACAAGCCAAAATGGACAATATCTGCTAGCGGTGGGCTTGAGCTGTTACAAATTGTATTAGGGCTAGACACCGGGCAGTGTGCCAGTGAGAACGCTGGAACCCTAATGGGATGGATTGTGAGATCTCATATTGGTTGGAGAGGAGAATGAAACATTTCTTATAAGGGTGTGGAACCTCTCCCTAGCAGATGCGTTTTAGAATCGTGAGACTGATGGCTATATGTAACGGGCTAAAACAGACAATATCTGTTAGCGGTGGGCTTAGGCGGTTACATATTAAAGCACGGTCACAATCATGGTTAAGAATCTTACTAGTCCTGAAGATGCTGTCTGATATCCACTCGAGCCACTCTGCACTGCAGGCTTCACAGATGAATCCGAGGATTGGAACTGTGTCGATACATCTCCATTGGGCTTCAAGCAGTTTCAGCACAAATGAATTTAGAATTCTAATGTTCACTTATAACTAAAAAGAAGTTAGAAGCAGAACTATCAACGTGAGGTCCAGTAATCAGTACCTGTAACTTGGAATTCCGCAAGTGATCATGTATGCATTCAATAAAGTGGAAGGTAATCTCGTCAAAATTTGTAACAGGCCTGCAAAAAAAAACCATAGCCAAATTCATCATCCCGTTAGTTGATCAAATATACAACCGGAAAAAAAAAGGCATTGAACGGTTTCCAACATCCCAATAATCACTTGAGATTGGTCACTACCAATATACAATAACTACCTAGTGACCGAGGGTGAAAGAAAGAACACTTCATAGGACAGTAGATTCAAGAAGAAACTTTAGGCAATCGCAAATTCACAAAGAGAAACTACATAACACTAACAAGATATTATCACTAGAACTCATTTGATCTGGAGATCCTCGAGTTTCAGCATGCAATAAAATCACCAAGCAGGATGATAGCCTTAACCATTTAACTTCAAAAGCATGCCCAAACGCATGAAATTAGACTTAAGAGAATTAAAAGACCATACCTTACAGAGAATGCAAATATTTGCTTGTTACTTTGAAATATTTTCAAATGCCCAATTACCCGTACATACATTCCATCTCTATGCCATAAAAGATTCCAAGAAAGGGTCAGAAAGACTACTTAAGTATTTATCATCACAAGAGAAGCAAATTGGACAAGAACTTACTGTATTTCATCCATTTGCTTAGTGTCAAAAGTATCGTTTACCCTGAATAAATATTGACAAACATTCTTTAGTAATGAAGCAGATTTAGTTCAAGGGCTTAGGAAGATTGGAACTGCAACAGTAGACCATCTTTTGCAGCCAATTCTTCCTGTTCCATCATCTACAATGAATGTGATGTCAGTATTCCTTTCAGCTTTCTCAGAGACCTTCCCGACGATTGTAACCTTTTTCCAACAAGTAAAATATCAGTATTTACAAGTCTCAAGGAGCCAGACATGGTCTTCTAAGAAATGATATTTTTCATGAACTGAAAATTTATATGTTACTTACACATAAACATTTACTTCTGAAAAATATGGTTTGATAATTTTTCACACTGCAAAGCTTTCAGATTAATAAAATTTGTAAAACTAAAATATACAACCTTCCCTTTGCATTGCAACATTCAACACTCTGCTAATGTTCATGCTTCTTTGGGTTAAAAGGTACAGAAATCCAACCAGCGACTAAACCTGCCGCTAGCACATATTGTCCTCTTTGAGCTTTTCCTTTCGGGCTTCCCCTCAAAGTTTTTAAAATGCATCTTGCAGAGGTTTCCACAACCTTATAAAAAATTTCGTTGCTAGATTTCCACACCCTTATAAAGATTTTCGTTCTCCTCCTCACAATTCAAGAATTTGGGAGTGGGCAAATAAATCATGTTTGTCTTAGTAGTTGGATTCTAATCAATGAAAATTTTGAAAACTCTGACGAACATTGAAGCATTGCTAGTAAGCTACATTGACAGATATAATTAACATAGATTTGATTCTGAACTGCAATTTCTCATCCTATGATCTGTTTGCTACACTAATAAACATACACAGCGACAGTAGTTTCTAAAAGTGAGAGAGAAAGCAAGGAAGCATACATTTGTAATATCGACGCCGTTGATCACAAAGTTGGCCTTCTCTTCGCCAGAATGGGAGGCTTCACTTATCTGTTTTACCGTCACTGGAACCACGCCCGGCGTTTCTCGACTCTGCATTAAGAATTCAAAGATACATAAAAGGAAAATGGTGGAAAATGAAACGAACAGTTATCAAGTACCATCTTGTTCAAAGATTCTTCTCATTTTTATTCAATACCGCCAATTTGACAAGCCAAAACTTGTTTACGACCGAATATTAAATAGGATAACCATTATGAGTTTGATCTCCATTTCTAGAATTATAACTCTGCTCTGAACGCACCTAAATATACTCTGATATTCTCTCTTCCAGCGAATGAAAAATGAATTAGGTTCGCGTTTTCGCCGGATTCTAGCTATCCAACAGCTTTTAGGAGAGTAAATTCTATACTGCATTTTTGAAATTCGCTCTCGATCGAGAAGAAATTTAGAGTTTAAAGCAGCGACTTACCTTCGACAAAGAGGAGTCATTGGTCTGAGACGACGTAAATCCACTGCCGGAATCAAACTGGCTGCTGGAGAACATTCTTCAAACTTCAGCGAGTAAAAACTTAATGAACAATCAACAATGGAGAGACGTGAAAGACTTGCGATGCAAATATATGAACTTACGAAGTATAAAGTCTTCCATTCCCCGCCATTATGGAATTCCCGCCCGATCTCGTGGACAGTATTGTCGATCCCGAGCCAGATCGGGTTCGAAACGACGAAGAGCTACAAAGCCCACAGAGCCCAATGAATTCACTTCTGTCCATGCAAATTCATGGGCTGGCCTTGTTTCTTTGATCCGCCATGGATGTGAAAATATTGCGAAATTTACCGTGTATACCCTTTTATTTTAACTAATTTTCAATATTGCCCCATAAGTTTTAATATTTCAAATTTAAACCCTTTAGTACGCGTTTTTTTGCAGTCTTATTCAATGAGTTCTAATGGCAGCCCTTTTTGTTTATAGTTAGCTTACTATTAACAAAAAAAAA